TCTCTATATATAAAGCCAGAACTTCCTTTTGGTCAATTCGCGCTTTGTTATAAATAGGTCAAAGTTAGAGAGATAACCTTCACTAGTGACAAGAGCAAAGCAAGTGTAAAATATTACACTATAACTATAGCACAAGATGATGACAAATAAAAGAGGTAGAAATAGATACTGATGTTATTGATATTTCCTTTCTTACTCTGTATCTTGATAGTAGTCGGAGTGCTCTATTTATAGAGCAACTCTAGACAAACATTTTGAAATTTATAGTATACATCATTGAAAGTACGATCCTCCTTCATCTCCCAAGTCAATATCACTTTGTGTGGGCATTCATAACACTACCAATATTTTCAATACTGCATTCAACACTGCCAATGTCTTCAACACTGCGTTCAACATTGCCAATGTTTTCAACACACTTTATATTTTAAGTCTTGCTTAGCTGATATTTAAATTTTTGTTTAAATCCCTCTATTTCATACGCCCGTCTATTTAACATGACGCGATCAAACTTCCACCTAAATGTACAAGTGCAATTCTACTAGAAGTCTGCATAACTCTATCATCTATGTGGGGTCTGTCGAAACATTCAAATTCTACAAATGTTATAGAATTCCACGTTCAATACATGATAATGCATTGAAAACGGGAGAAGTGTCATGAGAATCAATTAAAATAAGTGACTAATTAAGAAATTTTTGTTGTTGCTCTACCCTTCACGGCACTACACTATGGCGGAGGGACGACGTGACAAGGATTGGCCTAGGGCGCCTATCCTCACTTTTTCTTTTCAACACTCCTCCAATTATCATGCTTCATTCATTTACAGTCATTCTCTTATTTGTCAACAATGCAACAAATTTAAACATATTCTTACAGTCATGCTCTTATTTGTCAACAATGCAACAAATTTAAACATATTATTTCCTAATTCCAAATGCCAACTTCCATGTCTGGTTACATCCCACCACTATTATAATATTTATATGACATAAAATTAATAATCTTTGGCATTTGATAAACAACCTTTACTTTTTTTTTTTAGTACTACAAATATATTTTACACTAAGGGCAAGGGGGAGTTCGATTAAGCCATACAATGACAATCTAGTTTGATATTGAATTCACCATCCACGAGATTCTAACATAAGACCTCTCACTTACAAATAAAGAGGAATACCATCAGACTGTAGTACTAAATGGCTATAAACAACCTTAACATTAAACCTTCACTTATAAATTAAAAATAAAAAAATCTACATTAAACCTTCACTTATAAATTTAAAAAAAAATCTACTTTGATCTTTCTTTTTCACGGTGCAACCCAGAAGTAGGAGTCCAAGTCTAGAAAGCTATTCTTCTTTGAAATTCATATATATAGTCAAAGCCCAAAATTCAAATTCATATATATAGTCAAATACCAAAATTCGAATTAATTCGACAACTATAAGATTTGTAAAATCTATCTTGTTGTATATAACTTTTTATTGTTTATCTTCTATCTTACCTCTTATTTATGTGTTAGTGTTTAGATTTTTTTGTTGATTCTCCCTATTAAAATTAAGAGTATAAATGACAAGATTATCACGCAACGATTAATATTGTACATGTTTGGATATGCTTTTAAAATAATTGAAAGCGCTTTTTGGGAAAGGTTTTTTGTGTTCCAAAAGCATTGTAAGTGAATTTTGGAAGAATCACTAATTATGTACTTCTTGCAAGAAGTATTTAAGTTCCTTTTTAAGATTCACTTGCATTTAACTAAGGATTGATTCTAAAAGCACTTTTTTTTTTTTTTTTTTTGTGAAGATTCTAAAAGCACTTTCATTAAAAACGTCTTCAGTCATTTTTAAAGCACTTTCAAACACATCAGTCTGAATTGCAACACAAAACTTATGTATATAGTTTTGGTCTGAGTCGCAAGACAAAACTTATGTTATATAGTTTTGGTCTGAGTCGCACACAAAACTTATGTGTGTGTATAACTACTGAAGATTAGCTATGAAACATTCATATCTGATGCCACTAAATCCAACACCAGTTGCTAAGGCGATGAATTCTTCTTGACTCCTCTTCATAACCCAACCCATACGGTGAGTGGGGTTATGATTTAATCACATTTTTTCGTTTGAGAATCGAACGTCCCTTACATTTTGGGAAAATCATGGACGTGCACGTAAAAGGAGTCGATCGCAGCCGTTAGGTTGTTAGGCGGCCATGTATTGTGTGCTTTAATTGAATTTAGGAAGGGCTTTGGTGTTCATGTGACAAAGGATCTTGGACACCCACCAAATTGATATGGTCACCACCATGAGGAATTAACCAAAATGGATAGCTCTTTGTTCAACCTTTCATCTTGATTTTACGGTTTCAATTAGGAAAACCTAACCACATGTAAAGCATAAAAGTTGGAGTGATAAGCTTAAATCTAACTCTCAATTAAGCTCATTTTGCACATTGCTAATTAGGAATGCTAAATATGGTTGAACAGCTATTATCCACAAATGAAAAATGCATGGATGGTCTATTCTAAAATAATTTAGTCACACCCTTAAAACGTGACAAATGAAAACATAATCCAAGCTTCCAAATACTCATCAATACAAATATGTGCGTGTGTGTGTGTGTGTGTTTTTTTTTTTTTTTGGGAGAACGAATACCAAAAAATGGAGTACTTGAGTATATCATTTTGGCAATTACGTCAGGGGCAAGGAAACAACTCCATTCTTGAAATCCAAGATTTGTTTTAGGGTTTTGGGTTGAGAAGTGATTTTTGGACGTCATTTTTTTTTTCATGGCAATCTTTTAATTAAATAAACCAAAGAATTGTTGTAATTAATATGTGATTGTGCAAATTCTTAATAGATTTGGTTTAGAATTCCTATAAATCTGGTGATTCTATCCTGTTAGGTTTTGTATTATTTGGAAAACAAGTATCTCTTCCCATGTGGTTTATTATAACTAAAAGCACTGGCACAAGGAAAACATATCTACAATTTCCCTGAGCCCTATTCTCTCTTTTTCTCTTTGTTGTCGCCGGTCCCCCTTTCTCTCTTTTTCTTTCCCTTCAAGAAATAGGCCACAACAAGAATTATAAATTAGACAAAAATAACCATGAGTGTGCATAACTAAATTTTCTTTTGAATTATCTATATTAGGGGAAAAAGATGAACCAAGAACAAGACCAATAGCAAAAACCAAGAAAATAATAAGTTAATAACATTCGAATGGCAAAACGACGACGGCAAAGTAGGCCGGTCTAAAATCTTGATTTAAGCTTGAGGAAAGACTTCTTCTTGTTTCATCCTTTGTAACAATCACATGTAATTAAAGATGTGTTCATGTGATTATGGTTGCACTTTACACATGTGTTAATTAGCTTGTTAACAAATTAAAAGAATGATTTAAAGGATTCCTAATTTGTTGGACAAATTTGGTTTATAGTTCATCCCAATTAATGAAGTGTACAGAGATTAAAGTTCCACGGAAGCTTTCCTCTTTGATAAATTCCTTGCATGCTATGGTTTTTTTTTTTCCACGCCGGGAGAAGGATTTCATTACTCATATACATTGTTGTTGTGACGGTAATATAACGTGTAAAATTATTTAGAAACTAATTTGATATAAAAAATATGAGACGATACAATAAAAGTGTCGCTTTTCAATACATGAGGAAGAGACATGCCACATGACAGTTCGTAATTAATTTTATGCCATGAATGTAACATATTTACCAAAAAAAACGTGGGACCAATTTTGTTTTTCAAATATTGTATAGGCCGTTCATTAAACAAAGATTAAAATCATCGTCCGTAAACCGCAGTGAAAGAACCGGGACACCAACCGTTTTCCACTTTCTCCTTTCCCCTTCACACTTCAATACCACTTCAGATTAGGGCCTCCAACGCATCACTGTAGGCGCCTTTTTATGAGAGTGTATTTTTGCTTATTGCTATTAGATGAGTTTATATTTTAAGATTTGTGTATATTTATTTATTAATTTTTTGAAGCTGTTATTGTAAGATCTCACATTGCCCAGGGGAGTGGATCATGTAAGCCTTATATGTATATTCTCATCTCTACCTAGCACGAGGTCTTTTGAGAGCTCACTGACTTCGGGTTTTATTGAATTCTGAAGTTAAGCGAGTAGCGCGCGAAAGCAATCTCATGATGGGTGACCCACTGGGAAGTTCTCGTGTGAGTTCCCAGAAACAAAACCGTGAGGGCGTGGTGCCCAAAGCGGACAATATCATGCTACGGTGAAGTTGAGCCCGGGATGTGACAATTATCCTGGTTTATTAATTTCTTTGTCCTCTCTCATTTATCACTCTCAACTAATAGACCGTTCCATGTATTTTTTTTATTTTTTATTTGTTAAAGTGTAAACTTTATTAAATCATAATAAAAACATTTACATCTTCTGCAAGAATATTAAAAAGAAATTCAGGATCAGAGGGCATCCCAAAGAAAAAAGCCATCATGTGAGGTAGCGTATGAAGCAACGTTCAATATATTTGATTGATTGATGGTTTAATGTGGGAAAACTTTGAAACTAAGAGATTTATTTATTTTTTTTTTATAAATCTTATCAACTGATTTGCCTCATGAAATTGTTATTTAGTCGGTTTTGTCTCACTTTGTCCCAAAAGACTGTCATTTCCATCTCATTTAGTCTCAATTTATCCTATTTTTCATCCATTTCGTCAAACAGACGTTAAATTGGTTTCAGAGTATAAAATGATACTAAATTACAATTTGAGGGCAAAATAATTAATAACCTTTTTTTTATAATTATTTTATTTTTAGTTCGAGTAGAAAACTTTATTTTTATTAGTAAAACTTTATTCTTATTAATAAGTGTAGGAGCTAATTTAGTGCTCTCCCACTTTCTCCCTAAAGCAAAATCTTTATAAGCTTAAACAAAAAAATGCTGTAAGAGTTAGAAACGCTTTAAAATTTTTGCTTTTGAACTTGATCGTGACATATTTCACCCTTTTTTTAAAAGTAATTTCAAACAAACCGATTTTTTTAAAAACTTTCTGACATGTTCATACCAAAATATATTTTAACGGATACGATCAATTAAATTAGTTTTACCAAGACTAAAAACCGACATTTAATTTTTTAATTTTTTATTTTTCAGATTGTAGAAATCGGTCGGCAGATTGGTGTGACCGAACCAAATATCGGGCATTGATGGTTCCACCGGCCAAACTCTCTGCCTGTATATACTATCCTTATGGAGGCTGTGTTATCATCTTCCATTTTCTCAACATTCCGATCGAACCACCGTCGCCGGAAACTATGCCTTCTCTGGCAAGTTTCCGGTGAGTAATTGGAGTAGTCCCCGTCATTGTCCTTTTGTCGAAAAATCCTTCAATCCGACAGGGTTCGCTCACAAGGTACTTTCTTCACTCTCCGTATAGTACTGATCGGAAAATTCAAGTTGAAAATATGGAGTGTTAAATGCATAAAATTAAAAAAGTTAATCTCTTTCTTGCTTTCAATTTTCTCAGCAACCAAACAGATGGTAAAGATTGCAGAACAAAGCTTCAGTCAGTACAGAAATTGCTGATGTTTACTGATCAAATTCGCCTTTCTTTTTTCCTAGTAAGATTTTTTGGAGTGTTCCGTTTCGATTTGGTGAGGATTCTGAATAAGGAAATTTATTTAGTAATTGTGGTGAATTCTGAAATTTTCAATTTTTTAATAATTTAGGGAAATTCATCGAAATGGTAAATTTTCAAACCCAAATTGCTGACATGATGTTCAGTGTGTCTCGTATTTAATTGTTATGTCACTGTTTAATTCAACAACTATTTCCAAATAGTTTTAACTGCTTACTAGGTTTATTTAAGTATCTATCTAGTAGCTTCAGTGTCAGTGCCAACTGAAATTGAACTGCTTAATTGCTACCCAAATGATAATTTAACTGTTGAAGTGTGCTGCTATAACATTAGAGATCGATTTTGCGGCTTTCTTTTGCAGTTGTATCGACTAGTAATGGACACACACTCATCCGGAGAAGACATCCTCGTCAAGGTAACGCAGCAGGGTGACTCTCTTTTGTTTAAAATTGTGTCTAGTGAGTGCTGAGTGGCTGAATTACTGTTTCGTGTTAATGGTTGTAGGCAAGAAAGCCCTATACTACTACTACCAAGCAACAAGAGCGATGGACAGAAGGGGAGCATAATAAGCTTCTTGAGGCCCTGAAGCTTTATGGCCGAGCATGGCAGCGCGTTGAAGGTTACGATACATTTGCTTTATTTTTATCTTATCCGATTTGTTTGTTTCGTTACTTACAGCTACTGAGAGAGATGGAACTTGATTTGTTTGCATTCAATGTGTAAAATTCTTGTTGAGATTGAGCTAAATCTGCTTGATAGCTCTTGTTAGCAACGACTTCAACTGCTATTTTTCATGTATTTCTTTTCTTTATTTAGTAACATCATCCTATTTTCACCCCCTTTTTTCTTCTGTTTTTGATTTGCAGAACATATTTGAACAAAGACTGTTGTGCAAATCAGAAGCCATGCTCAGAAATTCTTTTCAAAGGTAAGTGCCTTCTCATCACATGATGATCATTTGAGATGTGTGTTTGCGCTTCCTATTGCTTGGTTTTCGACAAGATCGATTCTTTAATTTGCACTTACAGGTTTTCTTTTACTGTTTTTTATGTTATATCTTTGCCATGAAACTCAAGTCACCATTTGTTTCGTATACAAAATTAATTGGTAAGTCAACAACAGTAAATTCTGGTTCCAAGTATTATGTTTGATGCGATCAAGTTCCAACGATTATGGATGCACTTCATTTGGAGCCTATCTCTCAACGGTAAGATATTGTGAGAGTCACAGCGAGGGTTACTGTGCACAAGTTCTTGAGGATATCAATAGGAATCTTTCTTTTAGCTTATGCAATTGGAATGGTCGGTGGTTCCACAATAGTCTTTCCCGGAACTTCAGAGCAAAAAGCTTCTTACACTTATTCAGGAGTTTTCAGTGTAATACTATTTCAATGGCTTATTCATTTAATGTTGGAAACTGCTACCAGTTTCCAGCCGCAATACTCATATCAACAATCCTAGACTATACGATGAGATCATTATTCTTTTTCTTTCAAGTACAATTTCAGACAAATAGGCTGAATTACCGAGGCTTGAGATCTTCGAGTTTCATCAGAGTATTTGGGATATTTCACTTGTATTCTGTCTGGCATCACACCTGTAAACATGAATACTGACAAGAAAAGGTTTCACTACCAGCTGGAGAAGGAGGCACAAGCTAGTGGTGTTTCGATAGGACAATCAATTGGAATAGATATTCCACCTCCACGCCCCAGAAGAAAACCAAGCAATCCTTATCCTCGGAAGTCTAGTTCAGCTCCTTCCACATGGGCCACATCATATGCGGGAACAAAGGATGGAAGAAGTTTATCATCAGCATCTTCTTCACACTGTAAACGAGTAGTGAACTTGGAGATCAAACCACTTCATGAGGTTATTGTTTTTATTATATACGTTAGTAACATTACTAATAAATAGCCTTTTCTTGTGCTCATGCTTATTCTTTAAGCATGTAAGTCACTTGACCTACGACTTCTTTACTGTCAGAGACCTATGAGAAAAGAAGTGTCAAAAATACAGAAAATCAGGATGGCAATTCCTCAGATGTCTTCACCTTGCGCCGAGAAGATCACAGTTCCTCTGTTTCTTCCGCAAACAATAATGCCATACCTTCACAGGTAGCGCTCGGAAATCCTGGTACGTATAGGGAGTTTGAGCCTTCGGTGAAAGGGGTAATAACTCAGCATGCAACAAATGAATCTCATGTCACTATGAAACGAAAAGAAAATCCGCATATGCATACAATGTATGCCAAAAGGATAGCTGAAGATAATGGCACAAGTGAAGCCTTAGAGTCAGGGAACACTAATAGTGCTTTCCATAAGAAGTTTTTTCAAGGTGAGAAAGCAGGTCATCAGAATTGTGCGTTCCACTATAATCTAGAGGACTTCGAATCATTTCCCTGCAGTTCCTCTACATTTTCAAGTCTTATTGTATCTTCTCTGCTACAAAATCCTGCAGTTCATGCTGCGGTCACATTTTGGCCTTATGCAAATGCAAAAGATTGGAAAGACCCTCCAAGTATGGCATCAATTGCTGCTGCCACTGTAACTGCTGCAACTGCATGGTGGGCTGCCCATGGCCTGCGTCCTCCTGTGTCCATGACCAGGGTACCTGTTCCATTAATGGATTCTGGTCAAGCTCCACCGACCAAAATTGAGAGAGGAGAGAATTCTCTTCGAATTCCTTCTTTGCGGGATCAACAATCGGACCCAAAACACTCGGAAGCTGTGGAAGCTCACCATTCAGCTTTGAAATCACCAACGATGCCTAATAGCGATGATGACATGGACATTGCATCAACTGAAGAAATTCATGATTCAAACAATGCAAAGAAAACAGGTTTCCTTCAACATTGATTGGTTTACTCTATACTTCTCATCTATTTTCAGAACTTCTTATCAAAGAAAAAACGAAAGCAGGTCTACCATTCCTCGTATGGTTCCAACACACCTTCCGGCAGTGGAGTAGAGACAGATGCGTCAAAGAAGCGTAAGAAAGGGAAGGAAGAGCTGAAAGAAACTGATTCATGGAAAGAGGTCTCAGAAGAGGTATTCAAACATATATGTTTTGCAATCGGATTGGATTATTGAATAATCTGTTTTTCGAGTTCATTGTTCTCTTATCGTGTTAACTTCCTCTGTCAGGGGCGGATGGCCTTTCAAGCACTATTCTCTCGAGAGGCATTGCCCCAGATTTTTTCACTTCCACATGACCTCAACCATAAGGGGCATCAGAAGGACATTATGGAAGAAGAAAAGCAAAATTTTCAATTGTAAAACTACTAGGTATAACCAAGGCCATATGTTGAATTGCAGTCCTGGCCATATTTTCAATTGTGTCTGCTTTGCACCAAAGTTCAAATCTCCCTTCATAGTTTGAGTTATATTAGAATATCGTTCGAATAAAGAATGATCAGAGTTGGAATTTGTCACCAATGAGAAAAAGTTTGATACGTAAATTATCAAAAGAATAAGGAAAGTTGAAAAAATGTTCATGCAGTAGGTGGCTAGGGACGTGGATTCTGTACCATTCTTGTATAATGTTATTCAACCATCTACAAAAATTCAATATTCTAGATATGGCACCATATCAGCAAAATATGTAAAATTCATTTGGGTAAAGTACAAAAAATTACCCCAACTATTGGTGTCACAACACTTTCATACCTTATCTTTTAAAATTGACAATGTCATACCTCATCTTTAGAATTTGGTCCAATGTTATACCTTCCGTTACTTGGCCGTTTACTTTTCAGTGAAATGCTGATGTGGCTGGATTCGGAGCCCACTTTCTGTTAAAAAATTAATAAAATTTTATTAAAAATTTTAAAAAACTTTATTTAATATTTTTTAAATATTAAAAGAAAAGTAAAAAAAATTAAAAAAAAAAAAAAAAAACCCTTAGCAACAACCCCCCACCCGAAGAAGAAGAAGAGGAAGAAGAAGGAGGAGGAAGAGGAAGAAGAAGAAGAAGAAGAAGGAGGTCACCAAGGTTTCCCGATTCCACCTTAATGGGATCTAGGTTTTTTTTTTTTTTCCTCCTCCTTCTTCCTCCTTCTTTTGCAGATTCGGGTTTTTTTTATTCTTTTATTTTCTTCTTCTTCTTCTTCTTCTTCCTCTTCTTCTTCTTCCTCGTCCTTCTTCCTCCTTCTTCTTTTGCAGATTTGGGGGGTTTTTTTTTTGTTCTTCTTATTCTTCCTCCTCCTTCTTCTTCTTCCTCCTTCCTCCTTCTTCCTCCTTCTTCCTCCTTCTTCCTCTTCCTCCTTCTTCCTCATTCTTCTTCTTCTTCTAGGTTGCAAATTCGGGTTTTTTTTTTCTTCTTCTTCTTCTTTCTTCTGGGTTGCAAATTCCCCTTTTTTTTTTCTTTTTCTTCTTCTTCTTCATCCTTTTTTTTCTGGGTTGCAGGAAGGGGACTGGAAGGGAGAAGAAGATGAAGATGGGGGAGAAGAGAGAGAAGAGGGGCCGCGGGGAGGGGGGGTGGGGGAAGGGTACGAACAGAAGATTTTTTTTTTTTTTAATAACTTTTCTTTATTATTTTAATATTTAAAATTTATTAAATGATTTTTTTTTTAGTTTTTAATAATATTTATTAATTTTTTAATAGAAAGTAGGACCTGGATCAAGCCACGTCAGCATTTAACTGAAAAGTAAACGGCCAAGTAACGGAAGGTGAGGTATGACATTGTCAATTTTAAAAGATGAGGTATGAAAGTATCATGACACTAATAATTGATGTTGTTTTTTGTACTTTACCCAATTCATTTTTAACTACTTTTGTGACTTTTTTAGAAGAATCGAATTTGACACGACAGAAGAAATAAGCTTTGAATGGAAGGTTCTTCTAATAAGTTAACGTATCCAAAGAAAATTGTGTCATTGGAAAGTTCTCTAATGGCGATTAAGTGCTTAATTAGGTAGATACAATTAAGTGCCTAATAAAAAACTAGAGAAACATTCATGGTACTGTTTACTTTTAACGAAAAACCACTTTTTAACTTTCTCTGGTACTATTCATTATATATATTTTTTTGTCATTTTTCATTAAAACTAAAGTTTTTTTTTGAATTTTTCGTTAGTTTTCCTAAAAAACTAATGATAGGCAGATTAATTTTTATTATTTTCGTAGATGCTGCTACCACAAATTAAATGTATTTTATCAACTTATGGTATAGGCAGTCTTTAAGGGAAGAGACTAGGGCTGGGTTCGGTTCTCATCGGTTCGGTTTTTTCTCAAAACCGAAACCGAACCGAAATTTCGGTTCAATTTTATTTCGGTTTTTTTCGGTTCGGTTTCGGTTTTTTTTTTTTTTTTTTTTTTTTTTTGTTTCCTCCAAAATTATGCCTAGACTTCTTATGAAGCCACGGCCAACTCAGTGCCTGGTTTTTCTAAGAACAGATCCCCCAAACAACAAGCTCCATCCAGAGACCTCCAGCGTAAGAAAGCAACCTAATTCCAATGTCCTTATGAAAGAAATTGACATTCACATGCCACAACAATCACATTTCATAAACGTTAAGCGTTCTTGAAATGTAATACACTATATGAAGTAGCACCTGAAGAAATGGAAAACTTGCTAAACTCGCTTGTTGTGCTTGTTGGTTCTATGAAGAACTAAACAACCAAATTTTATACCGTATTAAGATCTAGCAAACATCACCCCAGTCCTGATGCAGAGTCGGTACCTGCTTTTCACCTAGCTTAATGACACCACTCTCAATCATTTCCCTGTACAAGTCATTACCCTCGCGAGTACGTTCTCCAACACCAGCAAACACAGAGAAACCACCTGACCCAAGAAACAAGTATATGTAAACCAACGGGAAAAAACAACCAAACAAGTTCGTTAACATGTAGCTCTTTTAAAATAACCAACCGTGAGCCTTAGCAACGTTGTTGATAAGTTCCATAATAAGCACAGTTTTTCCAACACCAGCACCACCGAACAACCCAATCTTTCCTCCTCTTTGGTAGGGAGCAAGAAGGTCGACGACCTGTATATGAAGCAGATAACATAAGTATACTAAACATACACAGCACCACATAGAATCCAAAGGCAGTGGAGAAGAAAAGCACTAAGAGGATCGAATTCTATTACATTAGTTATGACAGTAAAGGTTCGTGCTAATACCTTGATTCCAGTAACAAGGATCTGCTGCTCCGTTGCTTGCTCAACAAAGGCAGGAGCTTCTCTGTGAATGGGCAGAAAGTGATCGGTGCCTGTTGGAGCGTTCATACAGAAATTGTCAGAAAGCTTGAGTGCAATGCATTAGCATATTGCAACAGAACATCCACACGACACCATCAAGTGATTATTTATTTTAAGTTTCACAAATTTCTTACTGATATCGCCTCTATGGTCAATGGGCTCTCCAATGACGTTCATGATACGACCAAGGGTAGCCCTTCCAACAGGAACCTAAAAATAGCAAATAAAAACCAAAATCCAGGTCAGAATCCAAGGAAAATGTAAACACTATAATCAACACCAAAACAATAAGCACATTAAAACACCAAAACAGAATGCTAAATGATAAAAACTAAAATGGATAAATAGGAAAACTCCGACGAAAAGATCACAATTTGTCCACATAAAATCTGAAGAAAATCTAGTTGTTGAGGACGCGTGTAATTCTAATGGCTAACATTGAATGCACTACTTGAAGTTTTGAACCCTGAAAGGTACCTGAGTAAAGATCAAAGCTTTAAACAGCAGAATCCCCAAGTGTAAATCAATTAACGACAATTAAACTACAAAAATGCGTACCATAAATCAACCAACATGGTTCTTCTCTGCTTCCCCTCCTTTCTTTGCCCCAACTTGCTCGTCAACGGCCTCACTTGAATCTCGTGACCCAAATACAGATGAGAAGGGCCTTAACCTTTCCTGAGAATTAAACCAATTTCATTCAAACCCCAAATTTTAAATCAAAACAGGAACCTAAATGCACATCCTTTTTGTTTTGTTTTATAGACCCATATGCTACATACAACTCCTGGAACTACCTAAAAGGAAATAATCAAGTTCCAAACTTTCCATTATCTGCTCTAAACTTTCCATTCACTTGGGTAAAATGTAGCCTGCAAGATTCCTCTTTTGCTTCTAATAATAAGAGAAAACAGTAAATCCGAACAGAAAATATAAAACCCAAAAGCGATACTTACAAAGCAATCGTCGTCGATGGTGAAGATGTACTTCTTCTTGGAGACCATGTAGCCGAAGCATCTGCAAGCAGAGTCCTTGAAGGAGATGCAGGACGCCTTGGGACCCAGAATCCGGTTGATGTCGTTGCGGTTGTAGAGCTCGTAGTCGAAGCCCTCCGGGACCTTGATCACCTTCGACGGGTCGCCGTCCTGGACGATGATGAGGTGGTACTGCTGGAAGAAGGGCCTCCACATCTCGAGGAAATCGAGGTTTCGGATGGTGGGGATGACGATGTCGAGCTGCAACTGCTTCTCACCGACGGAGAGCGAGAGAGAGGGAGGGAGAGAGAGATGGGTTGGAGTCTAGAGAGGAGAGGGAGGGAAGAGAGGCAGGGAAGGGGAATGAAAAATAAGGAGGAGGAGGGTTAGGGTTACAATAAAAAGATTAAAAAATTTAAAATCATCTCACAAATCCTGGAGGCATGAGGGTTCGAACCCATGCCTCCATGCTTGTAAAGTTTCACTGAAACCAACCTGGCAACAAGTTCTGTTTTGTTATGATTGTATGACTAAACTATTTATAAATATTCAAACAAATTATATATATATCGGTTCGGTTCGGTTCGGTTCGGTTTTCGAGCCTCAAAAACCGAAACCGAACCGGTCAGATTCGGTTCGGTTCGGTTTGACAATTTCGGTTCGGTTTTTTTTCGGTTCGGTTTTTTTCGGCCTCGGTCCGGTTCGGTTGTCGGTTTTTTTCGGTTTTCGGTTTTTTGAACCCACCCCTAGAAGAGACTTTCATTTTTTTTGTGAGATATACACCATATCGAATTTCAACGATCTGAATCATTTATTTTTTAAGTTGCAACTCATAAATCATCCTTACAAAATATTAGCCAAATCGGAAACACTTGAGACATCTAATTGAGTTCAAAGAAATTGACGAACATTATGACACACCCCAACCGAGATCAGGGCATGCTGGCCGTCACGTGGAGGTGACGTAGCCAAGTGCACAGTGCGGAAGCTAAAGGAAATAATATAAAAGTACGAATAATTTAAAACTAGCATATGTAATGTGATAAAATAGGTGCTAGCGTGAGTGAGACGCTGAATTTAGAGCCTAAAGACTACAGCAGTCCAAAGAAAAGATACAACAATAGTGCACCCGAAGGTGACCCTACATCGGTGCGTGTCTGTCAGAAATGCCGGGACGTCATCTGGGAAAACCACCGAACCCGCTAAGCTACTAGAACCTGGAGGGGCGCAAAACAAAAGCGTGAGTGGGCAAAAACAAATTCTTTGAAAACCATTTCATAAAATACATTCTAACCCCTCACCGTAAAACCTGTATACTTCCCAGAAAATAAACATATATACGTAGGTATAAATATGCCAAATATGGTCAAGGATATGCCATCATGCTCAAAGGTATGCCGTCATGCTCACAACCTCATAATAATATGCAAGTGCTCAGGTATAAACCGTGTCAATAACTTATCACTGGCAGCCGGAGTCACCTAAAGTGACCTGTACGGCTGAATCTAGAGCTCGAATCTCAATCTCAACAACTAAACCTGCCCACGAGTCGGAACCACCTATAGTGGTCTGTACGACAAGCTTGGGTGTAATACATATAAACGCTCTAGTGCTACGATCACGTGAAGGCTGTGCGAATAATCGTGGGTCACCTACGAGTCGGAACCACCTATAGTGGTCTGTACGACAGGACTGTGCACCTAACTTGGATCCAAGTTGAGCGTATGGTGCGGGAGGTGAACGACACGTGAAGGACTGTGCCCTACTCTGGGCGGGAGCACTAACACCGGGGGTGCAGGTTATGAGCTCTCTAAGCATCTCTAATCACTATTGAATGCATATATGAAATAACGCTTACCTGGCACTTACCTGTGCCTCCACAGCACCATTATATATAAACGTATAAATGAATATACATAATAACCATATATGCAACTAACCATGCATAATAACCAATTATATAAAAGAAACGGCATATAACGAATAAGCATTTATACTAATTTCTGGGAATTATATGTATATAGGTATATACGGAAAACAAAAGCCCACTCACTGGTATGTGGAAGGGTCGTAGCCCCCCTGCCTCGAGTGTGCACGCTCGTCCTCGGGATACGTGTCACCTATATGCGAATTAACTATAAAAACGTTAACTTTAAAGCACATAACCTTCCGTTCAAAATAACTTCTCATACATTGCTCAAAATGGACAAATGAATATACCAACGTGATCTACACAACCTCAGGATCACAACCATATTTTTAAAATAATTTTTGGACCTCTCACGCGCCCCCACGCGCCAAAATAGGCACGGACCTACGCGCCCCCACGCGCGGCCACGTGCCATGCACACTGACGGTGTCAAGTGACGCCGTCAGGAATATTCCGTTAAACTAACGGAATATTCCGTTAAACCTAACCAGATGCCGTCACTGCCGTTAGGAATATTCCGTTAAACTCAACGGAATATTCCTGTTTCTTCTCCGGCCTACCCTCGCCGGACTCCGGTCACCGGAAAACCGAGGAAACTTCAAACTCACTATTCTCCTTCGTTTTTCAACCAATTTTCATGATTCTTGAACCAAAATGACGCTTAGACCTAGGAGAATCACGATAGACTACTTTTAAAGGATAAAAACCACACGATCATACCTGTCTTCAAACTCAAAAACCGGCCAACTTCGAACCAAGCTTTCCCGACGTCCAAATTTGTCCAACGAAGCACTCCCAAGCTCCTGGGAACCTCACAAACACAACTACAAGCTTCAAAATCCCAAAAACTAGCTAGGTTAAATTTGCATGAATAGTACCCCAAACGGAGCTTGTGAAATCGACGTGAAAACGTCGAAGTTCTTACCTGAAAATGGCACCACTGGACTCCTCTCAGCCTCACGAACTTGATGGTGTACTTGGTTCCCTCGATCTGCAAGTGGTTGAGTGTGTTTGTGTGTGTCCGTACACTTTCAAAAGGAAGAGGAAGGAAATGGGCTCGGGAGAGAGGGACAGGGAAAAGACAGAGGGAGAGGGAAAGTGATAGGGTGTGTGTGTGGTCCAACTCTGGCCAACACCACACAAAACAACCAAAAACATAACGAAAACAAACTAGGGGTAAAACAGTCTTTTCACACGTACGTTTCCGATAATTCCGGGACGGGATGTCACAATTATGTTCTAAAAAACATTGAAATTTTATTGTGAGAATTAAATAGGCAAATAATTTCAGAGTGAATTGAATTTTTGTAAGGATGATCTATGAATCGAGACTTACAAAATAAATGATTCGGATTATTGAAGTTCGATGTGGAGTGGATCTCACAATAAATCTCTATTTATTGAAAAATATGGAATTTTTATAAACGGTGGAAGTAAAGGTGGAAGTATCTTCTCTTAAAGAGCCTAATGGTATGTGTATCATATATGATAATGTATAAATTTTTTCTTTTAATTATTTTTCCATGTACGTAGTTAGATTTTCATATTTAAATTAAAATTTAGCATAAATTAAGAAATTTTATTTTTTGAAGTGGATCAAAGTACCCCTTTTATTACATATGCAAAATGTTAATGCAAAAGGTATAAAATCCATAATAATACTTAGCTATTAAAAGATGAGTAAGAACTCCTACTTAAAATTCTTAGTATTTTAATCACAATGCTTTGTGCTTATGATTAGAACCGTTCATACTATGAATCACACTGTAAATATCATATCTGCAAAAAATAAATTAAAACTAAGGTCGTTTAGTTAATCTATTGTGACAAATACATAAACAGTTCGAAATGTTTTTACTAATACTATTCATTTGTTTTTAAACAGTTCGATGACTAAACAACCTTAGTTTTCATTGATTTTTTTGCGGAGGCGATTTTTATAGGGTAATTTATAATATGAATGATTTTGATTATAAACACGAAATTCTCTAAATTGACAACGAACAATTTAAGAAATTTTGAGTTGAAGTTCCTACTCATATTTGAGTAGCCAAATATTATTTTAAAATCCATGGAGGATTCTGTAAATGTAATACGTACCATTAGATCTCAAAATACAGAAAACACGCACAAAAGGATCCTGTAATTACACCCTACACTTATTTCTCTTTATCCTTTTCCATTTTCTCTTGTTTTACTTTTTTTAGTTTGCAGTTATGCTGCACTGATGACATTGTAAATTGATAAGCTTTGCTCCCACAAGGGGCCACCGCCCCAACTTATAGAACTATTTGAAAATCAAGCACAAGCACCAGCACGGTCCTTGTTAGAGTTACAATGGCTACACTGTTATCTGACCTTGTGTCTGGTGCAACCCATGTTCCCTCTAACTATGTCCGACCGGCACACGATCGTCCGAATCTCGACCAGGTCCAGTCCTCCGATCACTCCATTCCTCTCATCAATCTCCAAGGCCTTGAGGATTCTAGGCGCTCGGACATAATCAAACAGATAGGCCTTGCCTGCCAAGATTACGGTTTCTTTCAGGTACAAAATTAAAATACGTCCTAAAAAACATACATGAATTTTCGAGATTATGTGTTATATATAGTTCCTTCAAACGAAAGTATATATTAACTTAATTTCTTTCTTTTAATTAATTTGTTTCCCTGTAAAATGGAGGTCCAAAACCATGGAATTGAAGAGGCCGTGATCGATAACATGCTGAGTGTATCAAAGGAGTTTTTCCATTTGCCAGAAAGTGAGAGGTTAAAGAGTTTCTCCGATGATCCACTTAAAACCACGAGGCTGTCGACGAGTTTCAATGTCAAAACCGAGGAGGTCTCCAGCTGGAGAGACTACTTAAGGCTCCACTGCTACCCTTTAGAGGACTACATGCATGAATGGCCGTCCAACCCTCCATCTTTCAGGTAATTTTCATGACATTTATCTAACAAATTATCGTGTTTTTATGAACGTTTAAGATGACCAAACGGTTTTCGATTTGATAACCTAAAATATAAGACGGTTCTAATTGTTTAAATAACCTTAGGAAAGGATATATTTAACATGCAATTATACACATACAAGTTTTGAGAAAATTTCCTCTTATTATACAGTTTGATATGCATGTTAACTAATATCGTCATACTGTTAATAATTTGTATCATTCATTTGGCAAACTTCTGCAGAATTCTAAATATCTGGCTGGCTAATTAAGAGCCTTATTAAATCAATTACAATATGTTAACTTAATTAAAACATTTTCTGCAGAGAAGATGTGGCTGAGTATTGCAGGAATGTGAGAGGATTAGCAGTGAGACTGCTCGAATCCATATCAGAAAGCTTAGGGTTAGAAGGGGATTACATGAACAAGGCACTGGGGAAGCATGGACAGCACATGGCAATCAATTACTATCCGACTTGTCCTCAGCCAGAGCTCACCTATGGCCTACCTGGTCATGCTGATCCTAATGTCATCACTGTTCTCCTTCAAGATGACGTGGCAGGCTTGCAGGTTCTCAACAATGGCAAATGGGTGGCTGTCAAACCCATCCCACATACTTTCATTGTCAACATTGCTGATCAAATCCAGGTCAGTTAACTCTCTCGTAAGTCTAAATCAAATGAAGGTAATTAAAAATGCGTTCTAATATGAGCTTATGTAGTTGAGGATGAATCCTCTATTGATTGATGAGAGAAGAGATTTACATAGACTTATAAGTAAGTTATGTTACTTCTTATATTGGCAATTGATTTTATGATAGAATCTCAACTTTCTTCATGGTATTAGAGTAGGTTGTCTCTCGTGTGAAGCCAAACGGTTATACGCACTCTACGTCATCCCAGTCACACACACTCCACGTCACCCAGTTGTATTGTCCATGTGTATTATGAATTGATTTTATGGTGAAACCTCAACTTTCTTCAACATCGACGGTTTAGATAATTGTCACTCGTTGTTACATAATAATATTGAGGGTAATGCTAGAAGACTAAATTTGTAGATAAAAATGCTTATTTCTATTGGTGATATATCATTTAGTTGTAAATTTTGTCTCAAAATTTAGTCTTCTTAACATTATCCTACAAAGAAATGTGTCTTAACATGGTCCACATCTTGCATGATTTTCTATTAGTGATATATCATTTAGTTTGTAAATTTTATGAAAAATTTAATCTGTACTAGTCTGTCAAAAACTTCTTAGCGTGGACCATACTTGCATGGTTGACAAGTGTGGCAAGTATTAGAGTAAGGACTAGGCAATAGGTGGCAGATTATGTGACCCACAAAAAAGCACAAAACTAGCCGAGATCCCGCCCGTTCAAATTGCTTTCTGTCAAATGATGTTGGCATAAATATGGTGAGATCATCGCCGATGTGCATATTTGATTAGGTCTTCCTGAATCCTGACACATAATAGTATCGATCCGAAATTCAACAACAGAAACGTATTCTTTTCAACAATCTCTGCTCCATATCTTCAACAGCAGAAACGTATTCTTTTCAACATCCTCAACCTTTTAATTGGACCGCCAATGATCGAGTGCTGCCTACAGCCTGCAGATACTGCACGCAGTCAGTTTTGAAGAATCTACCGTTTGAAATATAATACAAATTTACCAAGTCTATGCAGTGCATAAATATGTGAAGTGTCGATCTATTGGTCCAACTTATATAGTGTCATTTGTTGTGAGTGTGATGTCGTACCTCACGCCCACTGGTAGGTACTTAACCCTCACTCGTGCTAACAAATACTATTCTAACACGCACGCTATGCATGTCACACTGTAGTTTCAAGACAACAATACAATATCGTACTGAAGCGTTGATAAAAAAACATGACATTGTATATTTGCTCAAAACACTACTATTTGGACAGATGTATATAATTCACTCTCCTAATAATGGCGCACAGGTACAAATAATGCTCAAGAATACTTTATAACTATTTTGAGCTGCATAAACATGTCTTTAACTTTTTTACGCTTGATTAGAATTTTTTAGGAAAACTTAAGTTATAAGAGCAACTCTACTCTTTAGGACGATAGTTGCTTGCGCTATTAGGCAATTATTGGCTTAATGAATAGTAATTGTCTAAGGGTATCTCTACTAGAAATAAATTGCCTAGGCAATTGGCATTAATTTTTTTTTAAAATAAAATATTATGTTTAATTTCAAATTCTATTCCTTTTAATTTTTTTTTTCTATTTTTTAATAATTTTTTTTAAATTTTATTCCAAATGAATGACATAGACTATTGGATTACAATTTGTGCAATCCAACATCCCATGTTGTACCACGTGGGCTCAACCATTTTTCAGATTTTTTTTTTTTGAATTAAAAAAGGCAGATTAATGTGAACCGTGAAATCTAAGAAATCAAACGACCTACGTTTGAACAGAAACTGAGTGCACCTAAGCACGGGTCCCGTCAACACTTTTTGGTCAGCTCACTCTCCCTACTCGTGCATGAAGACCACGCATCTGATGCACAAAGAAAAAAAAAATTTTAAAACGTGATTGACGTCCGATCCACTAAAGCGGACAAAGGGGCAAGAATGACCCAATCGCTTGGTCTAGGAGTGGTGTTGGGCCACTGAATGGCCCCACTGATTTGGGTGGGCTGGAGCAGTTTTTGTTGGGGTAAGAGGATTGCATCACCCAATCGCAAGGGGGATTGTGAGGGAGGTGGTGTTGCTCCAAGGAATAAGCTGGTTCCGGCCATTCCGATATAAGAAACCATATATCTTTTCCCATAGTAGAACTTCAACCTTTGCTAACTGCATGTGTGCGCTTTTTCTAATTGTTTATTTCACAGGTTCTTAGCAATGATCGTTACAAGAGTGTACTCCATCGGGCGGTGGTGAATTGCAACAAAGAAAGGATCTCCATCCCGACATTCTATTGCCCATCGTACGATGCTGTGATGGAGCCAGCCCCACAACTGATTGATGATCATCATCCTCCCCTCTACAGGAGCTTCACTTATGCTGAGTTCTATGAAAAATTCTGGGACCGTGGCCTTAACACTCGATCCTCTTTGGACTTGTTTAAGACCACTTCTCATTCTGCTTAATGATTTCATCTGTTACCCCTCAATTTCTCGATGCTGCATGTTCAACATTTCAGAGCTTCTAGTTAACAGTAACAATAAATCCAGTACTGTGTAGTGTTACTATGTCCTTGTTATCAAATATTTAAGAAATAAGGGATCAACTCAAGTGATCAACTTCCCATAGTATATATGGTCAGAACTGATGTTGGATCAATTTTCTTTTTTCTTTTTGCTTACAGTGGTGTAAGAAAATCGAAACCTTTTGTTTAACCACTTGAGCTAACTCGCAAGGGCGTCCGATCATTTCAGAGATAGCAACAATCATGCCGTTGATTTGATGAAAAATAATAATTCCAACAGGTATGGGCTTAATTGGTTCAAGGCTGTAAATAACTGAAAAATGCATGGCTCTTGTATCTCTAAGTTAAATAGCTAGACAAGGATTGTGACGTGTCAGCTGGTTAGGGAGCCAAGTAAGGAGAAAAGTCTGGCTCCTTAAGATTGAGGAGTTTCTCCTGAAAAATACATAGCGACCGATTTACGAAATTACAACGGGACCAAAATCCAAATTAAGTTACCTTCGTGTGTAGTACTCTTGTCTACGAATTCGTAAGCAACGACGGAGTCAAATTTGATGAATTATAGAGAGTTTCAGTGTCTTATCAAAAGTTGTCACGAAATCGTAACGACGTCCACCATCTTCTTATAAATACCTTTTTGGATAAATAATCTGAGTGTAACTTCCAAAAAATTTCTTCTTGCTTGATAATAAATTTCTCTGGTCTCATGAATATAAAAAAATAAATTTAACTCGTCACTTGACATTGTGATTTAGTTGTACTTAATATAAATAAAAGTTGTTAAGTTCGAATTTCGTAAATAATGAGTTTAATAAAAGATATTAAGTTGAAATTTCGTAAATAATGAGTTTAATAAAAGATATTAAGTTGGAATTTCGTAAATAATAAGTTTAATAAGAATTTATTATGACTAATCATTTGTTTGATTTCATCCAAATTACAGTATTAGTGTAAAGAGCATCATCTTAACCAAAGATAACCATAGGCAACAAGATTCGCACGTTTGTCTTTCTTTCAACTTGCAATTAGTAACAACGTACAAAACTCGTCGCATCATTAGGTCGACTCTTCATTCATTGGCACAGAGAGTCAAATGAATCAGTTATTCATCAGCAACTTTAATTGAAGTGGTAGTTGGAGACTTTTAGTTTGCTACTTAGACCAATGGTTTTAACTCCTGTTCTGAAAAAAAAAAAAAAAAAAAACAAAACTCAATTTAATATTCAAATTTGTGCATTTGGATCTCATTCAATTCTAAGTTGTGGGAATCCTAATAATTCTCACATCCTAACCGTTTATCGTACATTATGTGGTTAAAAATCATTTTAATATTTTTTATTTAAAATTAAACACAAATAGTACCTAACGAAAACTGACGGCACGATTTACAATGAAGGATCATGATGTGTGAATCTCTAAGATCCCTACAAAAGGAATCTGGAGAGGATCCTCATCCCAACTTTGTATGGTGTTCATGTAATAATCTCTACGCTCACTGTCATTCAAAATTATTTCCCGTTACTTAATTTGACTATTCAAGGAATCCATGCCCGCAGATAACTTTGTTTAAGGGAAAACTAACCAAAAACCCAAAAAACTTTCTTTTTAATCATCAAGACAAAAGTTTTTGAAAATGCCGATCGTACCCTTCAAACATCCATACAAGATTGGGTCAGTATTCTACAAAGTCCACATGGTTTCACCGAGAAATACATCCAAAAGAAGCTGACATTCCCAGAGAGTATTCACATTCAAAAACATTCTCAGAGAGCATTCACATGCAAAAGAAAAGGTGGCAAACATTGCAGCAACCAAGACAACATGGATTCACATGACTTTCAGTCAGCTTTTAGAAACAGTGTTGACGGTTTTCAGAAATAGTGTGTTGTCACTATTCAAAAAGTTGTAAATATTGAAAAATTATTTGTTGTTTAGGAACTAGCTTTTGTATATAAGGGAGTTTTTCCTCCCATGCAATACACACGAAACAACACAACAAAGATACACCATACTCACACCAGCCTTCAATCTTCATACACTCAAGCATTCAAAACCTTCCTAGCATCTGTAGACATCGAAATTTCAGTAAAACAAATGTTCACCAATGCATTAAAGTTTTGACGTGTCAAGGCATACATGGCATACGCCACGTGTTGTACAAATTATACACGTGGCGTGTGACTCAACAAAATAGGGAGAAATACCCTTGAAGGATTAAACAAGTTTTTCTTCTCATTTTGGGCAATGACAAGGCAAGTACATTTCAATCGATTGAGGATCAAAACAAGTTTTTCTTCTCATGTTGGGCAATGACAAGGCAAGCATACTTCAATCCATTACGGATCAAAGCAAGTTTTTCTCATTTGGGCAATGACAAAGCATACACATTTCAAGTTTAAAATGGTGTTAAGTGGGAAATTAAGCCATAAGTTACACCACTTCAAGTTTAAAATGGTATTAAGTGGGAAATTAGGCCATAAGTTACACCACTTCAAGTTTAAAATGGTATTAAGTGGGAAATTAGGCCATAAATTACACCACTTCAAGTTTTAAATGGTATTAAGTGGGAAATTAGGCAATAAGTTACACCACTTCAATTTCAATATTGCATTAAGTGGGAAAATTAGGCAATGGTGCTTGGAAAAGAAAAAAATATTTTGTGGTGGTGATTCATTCTCAAAGCCTATAAATAGGCTTCTCCATCAAGGTATCAAGCATCAACCAATTCACAAATACATTTCTCCACACACCAAAACCTTGAAGCCTTAGAGTTCTAAAGCTCTCAAGAAAATCCCGAAGGATCAAGAAAGCACTCTTTGTTCTTCATCAAATCCTCCTTCAAGATCAAGCCCCAACGGCCCTTGAAGAACTTCCACCAACTCAAGATCAAGCCCCGACGGCCCTTGAAGAAAGTGTTCATCCGTTCATCCCAAGATCAAGCCCCAACGACCCTTGAAGAACTTCCACCAACTCAAGATCAAGCCCCGACGGCCCTTGAAGAAAGTGTTCATCCGTTCATCCTAAGCTTAAGCCCCAACGACCCTTTGGATCAACAACCTCAACAAATCCACACATCCAATCGTTCTTCAAGATTAAGCCCAAAAGCCCTTGAAGATCCACTCATCCATCAACCTTCAAGATCAAGCCCAAAAGCCCTTGAAGAAATCCACACAACCATTATTCAAGATCAAGCCCCGACGGCCCTTGAAGAAAGTGTTCATCCGTTCATCAACTGTTCATCCTTAGATCAAGCCCCGACGACCCTTTGGATCAACAACTCATCCACAAACCTACACCCTACGAAGATAGAATCAGAGGACCAAATTTGAGAGAGATCGTAACCCCAAAATCATCAAACAAAATATTATTTTGTACACGTTATTCTTGTTTCTTGTTTCAAGGAACTTTCGTGTTCACAAATTTGGCACGCCCGGTGGGACCTCTCTACCTCTCATCTCTATCCTCAAATCATCGAAAAAAACGCAAATGGCATCAAGAAAGGATCAAGCTGTTCCTGCAATCAAAGCAAAGAACAAGAACATCATCGCCGCAAGTGGTGGTATTTCGGGCATCACAACCCGAAGTAAAGCAAGAGCTCTTTTTGCCGCGGCTTCCGCCCCTGCATTAACTCTGTCAAAGGAACAAGAGCACCTGAGGTACGAGCCTGTGATCACCCTAGCCTCGCTAAGGGCATCAAGGGGAGAAAGCCCGAGGAAATACTCAGAGTCCCTACTCTCCGACGCTGATTCGAGCGGCAGTACAACCATACAAGTCATGACCACTGGAGCAACTTCAATCGAGGAGCAGCTAGCTCAGATGAATGAAGCAATCGCAAAGCTTACACGGACTGTGGAAGAGAAGGACTTGCAGATTGCCGCACTTGTCAGCCAACTAGATGCGCTGCCCGACGTGAAAGTCGACCCAGATGTTGGCCTATTAAAGAAAGAAGACGACGAAGAAGAGGAGCCACCAGCGGAGAAAGTTGAAGAGAAGCCGAAGCTAGACCAAGCAACGGTAGTCATGGGATCTCTCTCTATCCAGCAGCTACAGGAGTTGATCGCAAACACTATCAAGACACAGTACGAAGGAAGCTCACATGACTCCGTACTGTACTCAAAGCCTTACTCCAAGAAGATTGATGCTTTGAAAATGCCAAGGGGTTATCAGCCCCCAAAGTTCATGCAGTTCGATGGAAAAGGCAACCCGAAGCAACATGTCGCCCATTTCATTGAAACTTGCAACAATGCTGGGACAGAGGGAGACTACCTCGTCAAACAGTTCGTGCGTTCGCTGAAAAGTAACGCTTTTGACTGGTACACTGACCTCGAACCTGAGTCTATCAACAGTTGGGACCAGCTAGAAAGGGAATTTCTCAACCGTTTCTACAGCACTCGTCGTACTATAAGCATGCTAGAGCTGACCAGTACGAAACAGTGGAGAGATGAACCTGTCGTCGACTACATAAATAGATGGCGCTCCTTAAGTCTGGATTGCAAAGATCGGCTTTCTGAAACCTCTGCCATTGAGATGTGCGTTCAAGGCATGCACTGGGGGTTACATTACATCCTCCAAGGCATAAAACCAAGAACATTCGAAGAGCTAGCAACTCGCTCCCACGACATGGAGCTGAGTATCGCTAATCACGGGAAAAAGGAGCCGATTACTAACTTCAATAAGGATAAAGTATTCGCCCCAAATATAGACAAGACTGGGAAGAAACCCGCTAAGGAAGCTTTCACCGTCAACACTACCCCCATCAAGACCTCCTCAGCGCCCATCAAGATCTCCTCTAAGAAGAAAGGGAAGGAGATAAAGACAAGTGAGCCTTCTCGCACCCAAGACAGATACAAGAGCACTTTGAGAGAGTTGGAACAGAAAACGTACCCTTTTCCTGACTCTGACATGGCTGCCATGTTAGATGACTTGCTGGAAAAAAAGGTGATTGAGCTACCCGAATGCAAACGTCCTGAAGAAATGAATCGCACAAACGATCCTAGGTACTGCAAGTACCATCGTATCGTGAGCCATCCTGTTGGCAAGTGCTTCGTTCTTAAAGAACTCATCATGAAGCTAGCACAACAAGGGCAAATTGAGCTCGACCTTGAAGA